GCGGACATTCTGCAGATGGCTCGGGAGCATGGTCCGTGTATGCCAACCTGTAGAGGTAAAGCAGCCACACAGGCTGACCAAGAGCTGCTCCAGCCGAGCCCGAGGCAGACCATGCATGAGCTGCTGAAGCCCAGCGTGCAGCTCGCGGATGTTTGTGCGAGCACTGCAATCTAGCAGCCTGTCTGCGCAAATATATGAAATCAACAACCGTGAAAGTTCTCTAATTCATAAGTCCAACATAAGTCTAACACAAGTCCGACCTATGTCCAACACGCAAAATGCACAAGTAGGATATATGTCCAACCCAAGTGATACAAAAGCAGACCCACTTATAACTTAGTTATAACTCACTTACCTCACTTATAACTTATTCATACCCCAGCTATAACCTAACCATAACCAAAACACTGTGCTGGTAGCGGACGACCTCACGAACGAGAACTTCGCTAGTTTCTCCCCGGACTTCAGGGTGAACCTGGAGGGGGAGAAGCTAGAGTGGCGCGTGCTGGGCCGTCTCCTCGAACACTCGGCTAGCTACTTCCAAGAGCTAGGAGTGAGGAAGAGGACCGGAGAGCCGAAGGCTCCGAGGTTCGCTAAGAAGGCCCGTAAGCTAGGTCCCTGCTAGCCCTACGGCTGCGCAAGGAGATTAGCTAGCCAAAGGCTAGAGTTCTTCTCCGGGCTAACGCGGGACTTCGCCACAACGCTAAAAAGAGAGAAGTTCGTGTTGTCCGTGCTACTGCGTGAAGCCAGTTAGCTAAAGCTAGGCTTGCTACGTACTCCCCGGAGGTGTTGAGGGAGGTGGCGGGAGGATACGCTAGCTAGTGTACGCACTCGTGCCGAGGTACGAGGTACGACAGTGTATGCTAGCGCTAGTATCTCTGTGTGAAACATCGAAGGTGTTTCGCTAGAAAACGTCGAAGGGGTTTTCCTCTGAAGCTAAACAGAACGGTGTCTATCTGTTAGCTAGAGAGTCTGCACATGGCCGGTGGAATGAGCGCTATTCCGTGGCCATTGTGCTGAAAGGCCTCCAGCTATTGGGGGGCAAATTTCGAGTGCCCACCCAACCCACCCTGGAGATTAGCTAGCCAAAGCCGGGCTAACGCGGGACTTCGCCACAACGCTAAAAAGAGAGAAGTTCGTGTTGTCCGTGCTACTGCGTGAAGCCAGTTAGCTAAAGCTAGGCTTGCTACGTACTCCCCGGAGGTGTTGAGGGAGGTGGCGGGAGGATACGCTAGCTAGTGTACTGTATTGCCTGAAACATACAAAGCCAAAACCCCTAAACCTGCCGAAAACCTAGAAATTACAACACCAAAACAGACAAAGCCAAAACCTTTAGATCTGTCGAAACCCTAGAACCTCAAACCTGCAACACACAAAGCCGCTCGTGCGGTTCTATAATTCTAAACCTACCGTCCCTGTGTGCAACACCCGGGACTTTAAACGCCGCCAGAGCAGATCTACCTGGCCGCGACCACTTTTCAGTGGCTTTTCACGACAATGTTGATGTCGGTGCCGGCGACTTTGCCACCCATCCCCAACTTTGCCATCTGTGGCCATGGCGGCACCGGCGACGCAAGTTGGTAGTGCTGGCTCCTGGACCGAGCTCCCGGCCCACGTCAACATCCCTGGCTACGACATGTTCCAGCTCACCTCTTCACAAGACCTCGACCCGCTGTTTGTCACCTTTGCCTTAGCATTGGCAGCTCAGCGTGGGGCAAATTGCGTGGTGTTCGAGAGCAGGATCCGACGCGCGTGGGTGAAGTTCCTTCCGGATGACCCACGGGGGGGGATGCCGCGTCCCGCACGCGCCAGGATCCTGCTATGTGGCATGGCTACCATGCCTTCATCAGAGAGGGCGCCGCCTGAGCGTCGGCTTGTCCGTGGGCAATACCCGGGGCTTTTTCCACTCGCTTCGTAGGGCTGTCCCCCGGGATCTTTTCCGAACAGCACGGCCTTGGGCAGCGACGGTAAAACACACTCGTAGTGCTCGAAGGCCTGCAAACCGTTAGGACTGCCCGACTGTGCTATGGCTGTTGCTGTGTAGGCTCACTTGCAGATATGTGCATGGATTGCTGCCCGACCCCGCCGCGGTACACCGGTTTTTCTCAAGCTTACCAACCGCTTGCGACATACGTCGTTCGCGCATCCGCTCTGGCCTGGCCCCATCTTTGCGATGGCCAATGTCATGCCGCCGCTGTGGAAGCGATTGGACGCCAACATCAACGTGCGATACGGCGATCTATGTCACTTCGATTTGTCAGCTGATCCCGACTATCAATTGACGGCAGGTGACATCGATCTTGTCCTGATGACGGCGGCTGGCGTGCAGGCCAATTTGGTTGTGATCGAACAGTATCACAACTGGCAGGAACCGGCCAATATGACCGTGCGGGTGTGGTTCAAGCGGGTGGAGAGCGTCGCCGATCAGATTGCGCGCCATCGTGACTGGGATGCGAGCGGCCGCCAGGGATACCAAACCTTCTATCTTGGATAGGGTGCCACAGCCTTGGCGGCTACAGGAGCGGCGTCAACTGACGGGTTTTTGTTCAAATCAGTGGCCGGTTTTTTCACTCTGTGGCACTGCCACTGGCTGCCAGATAGCCCCAGAGCCTACATAATGAATGCGACCCAGCGAAAGGAAGGCCTGGACACATTGCGCTGCCCTTTGAGCTCTCTCTGCCAGTGTACCAGTGACTGTGATTGTGTACGCGTGTTTGGGCTCAGTCAGCGACATACGTCGCTGGCCAGTGGACCTAGGTACCGTGCTAGGAGTCACGGGCGGAGGTATGCCCGACCGAAGACCGAAGCGAAGTACAGCACAAGGACTTCGAGGCAGGGTGTTAAATTCTGTACATAGGAACGCCCCACACCTTTGGTGAGCCCAGGCTACGGTATAGTTTGTATAGTGTGACTATGACTATGCAGCGCCTTTGGCTTAAGCAGGAAAAGCGTGAACGCTCAGTTTAACTGTTCTGGAGAATGACCATGCAATGTAACATTAAAGGGGGGCTTAAAGGGGGCTTAAGGGGGGCTTAAAGGCTTCGACCCGTTAGGGGAGACCCCTTTAAAGGGGGCTTCAAGGGGCTTGAAGGGGGCTTAAGCCCCGCTTTGTCAAAGGGGGTGGGGCCCATCCTCCAGTTCCTTCAACTTATTGCCCCGTCTCATCCTGCCAAGGGGTGGAGCTGCAGGTATCACATGTTGCAGGAGCCCACAAGTGGGCAGACGACCTAAGCCGGGGCCGGCTTCCCATCAGCACCGCCAGCAGGAACACGTCTATGCTTGCCAGTGCTTCGTCTGAAGCCTCCTGGTCCGGCGACAATCACTCGGCCAGCGGCAGGGCGGTTGATTTAGCCAGGAAAGCCTTACACCACCGCAATCGAAGCCGAACGAAAAAGATGTCAGCCTCTGACACCTACATTACAGTTGTGAACGTTGGCTCTGCTCCCTTCTCTGCCTAGGTCCATCTCCACAGCCCGCGTGGGCGCCTTTTTTACCAGTTGGATCTGTCCCTGAAGTGGAGTTTCGTTAGACTGAGCCCTGCAGCCTTAGTCCCCTCCCTGCTAGCCGCACAGCCTACAAAATCCAATGCGGTGAAAAAGAGAGAGCGATGTGCTAGAGCAGTGCAAGCCTACCTAAAACGTTAGTTTCAGGAATGTTTTCGGTGTTTGTGAATCTCTACACGCTTGTCATGCCTACATGCCTACGTGCAGCCTGGCTCTAGCACATCAGTTCTCGAAAAGCCCCGCCCACCCACGCCTCAGCTTTCACGCCTTAGTTTGTCGCACGACAGGTACATGAGCATTCTTGCCTTCAAGAACGCGAAACCGGAGCCTTACTTTTCGGTTTGCAAAGCCAACCCGACTTCGCCTTGCCAGCTGGTTGCACAGTCAACCCTTTCGGTACCTGCCTCAGGTACGTGCCTTCGTAGCCAGGAGCCCATCCTCCTGCCTTGCTCACTTCAACTTGCTTGCCAACGAACAGGCTAACACTGCCATGTCTTGCACTCAGGTTCTCGCCCTCGTCAACTTCAGGCCGCTCGCCCCTAAGGCCCGAACCCCTTGGGTTTTTCCTCCCGAGCCCCTGGTTTCACACTCTCTCAAGCTGCCTTAGCTTGCTCAGCCAAGAATTCAAGACGACTGCATAACTTCTCACTCGTCTTCTCACAAAGCCTAGCCTGGGGGGTTTCTTTAGACTGAGTCTGCAGCCTTAGTCCCGTCCTTGCTAGCCGCACAGCCTACAGATCCAATACGGTGAAAAAGAGAGAGAGAGAGAGAGAAAAATGTGCTGGAGCAGTGCAAGCCTACCTAAAACAGAAAAGTTCACCAAAAAGTACAAACAGAATTCCCAAACTAATGCCAGACCCAAAAAGCAGGAGCGTTTGAGCCTAAAGTGCTTGAACTGTGAACCACCGCAGCCCTCTCTTGCTTAGCGCAGAAAAATAGAGCCCAATACGCATCCCTGTTTCCGCGCAAAACAGGTTCGAGCAACAGTTTTTCTCCGAGGTTTTTGTTTGGAAAGCTGACCGTAGATGGACGTTGGTATAGGCGGGAGCAAAACCCGTTGCCCGTTTATAGTGTTTGTTTTGCTAACCGGTATTTACGTGAACACTTTGGTTTACTTTGCTCCCCAAGCTTTACGCCAATGACTTGAGGAGACAGTTCGCAGTCGTTTTGGATGGCGTGAACATTCGCAAAAGCGAAAGAACGAACACAACCCTGGCATGGAAACGCTGGGTCGCTTGCTGGCTTCATTCCGGTTGTTTTGGCTCAAGTCTTCGCCACATCGAAAGTTGACACGTTTCACCCAAATCCCCGAGCTTTGTACGCAGCTGATAGCATGTTGTAACAAACCCAAGCGATCCAAAACGGAAGATCATAGAATGCTGCTGTGCCGCTCGACGTGTCGCTCGCGGTCGGGGGCTGCATAGATGACAGTCTGAGATGCCAGCAGAGTGACTGATGCTATCCGCCGTCAGCACGGCTCGAGTTATTTGATGCCCCATGACCGTGCACAGTCGTTTGTTGTTCCCGGGGAGCCTTGGAAAGCCATTGATGGATGATCGAAGTTCGTGCGATGCGCACGCATCTCAACAACGAGGCATGGAGGCCCGCTCGGATTGCAGGAGTAAATATGAGTGCCGCGGGAGGTGTTTGTGTCCAGGTAGCGATGGATGAAAGCTGGTCTTCGACACAATCCGAAGGCCATCGCAGCAGCTATATGTCCTTTGACTTGCGTGAATGCTTTCGCGATTGAAAATTGAATAAGGTTCGAAGAAGCCGGGCCACTCCTCTTTCTTCCTGCAGGTTTGTTTGCTGGTCGCAGTGGTCGTTTTCGGCTGTGCGAACAACATTGCCAAGCAAATCGCCGCACAGCCTCTCAAGCGACGCCTGCCTCCAGAGATGATCTTGATGATGTTGTAGCTTCGGTTGGTTTCAGGTGGCTTTGGCCACGCTTTCGCATGTTGTCGGCAAGAGTACATTGTCTGAGGCTACACTTACATGCTGGGGCTTTCCACCGCAGTCGCATATGTTCCACTATATTGGCCTTCAGGCTGCACTAGGGAGAGGCGTTTTCCTTTTGGTTCAGGTCTGGGCTTCCGAGGTTCATTTTGGCGCTTTTGCTGCTCGTCGGAGTGGTGCCGAAATCCCAGTTCCGCTTCGTCTGGCAGCGGGGCGCCGAAGGCCGCGCTGTGGCCTCTACAACGCCCGTGGCTCTCCTTTTCGTGTCTGCCCTGGGTCGCTGGCCCCAGCTCTCGAAGAAGTATGAGCAGAGCAGTGCGCACAGAGAGCAACCCTGTTGTGTCGAGGGGACTCTCTCGGCGACACCATCGGGGCCATTTGCACTCCTCACGTGAGCGGACCACTGCACTCCTTGCTGTCGAATTGCACGCCCATCTTCATTGCCGTGCTCTCCATGTCCCAGCCCGAAAAACACCGCCGCGTGCACGTGCGGCCGCTCTCGCTCTCTCCCTGGTTCTCTCAGGTGCTTTCTCCAAGAGCGTTACTCGCTGATGCAGTCCCTGGCACTGCTGGGGGTCCAACTCTCAGTGCCTTTGCTCCGTTATTCGCTGCCTTCCCTGCACACTGTTGCCAGGTCTTCATGGCAGTAGTGTGACCCCGAGCTGCGAGACAAAAACGAGCGGGCCTTCTCATCTGCGAGCCGCTAGGTCACAGGCTTGCTGCCTTCCTTGGAGGGTCTCAGTGCCACCACGGAGCCTGTGTTCGCTGTGATCTTGGGAGGCAGTGCAGTGCATGCAGGGCGCAAGTGCACAACATAAGAGCGACGTAGATGAGAATCGGCGTTGTGAATCGGCGGTGGGCGACGTCTCGTCGCAGGCAGCTGCATTTTCAACGCAGCCTCTTGGACGCAGCGTCCGGTCCGCGTGGCGCCTCCATGATGTGCAGAGTGCAAAGGTCGCTTTCGTGCTCAAGGAGCTCGTCTTCAAGCGATACAAGGCCAGGGCGGCCAAAGGTGTTCCTCTGCTCTGTGTCGATGTCCGGCCAAAAGTTTGTCCTTGTGCAGAAATGGCAAGATGTCGAGAGTGCTGGTGGCCTCAACATCTTTGTCATGAATGCGCACTTGGCGCTCTTTCAGTCTTTAGCCAAGGCAGTGCGACGGCCATCGGCCATAAGAGACTGTTCCGAGCTGAGGCTTCCTCTCACGATCCTCCTCATACCGCTCAATGTGCTATTGAAGCAGACCCATGGCGAAGGCGTGAGTTTTGGAGTGGCTCGGGGTGAGACATGTTGCATCTGCTCATGGAAGGCATCGGTGCCTACACCCGGGAAGCCCTGGACTGCGTGTTCGGTGGAGGGGCAGCGAGCTGCGGTGAAGATTCGAACCACGCGGAGCTGGCCGGCCGCTGTCCCAACCTCAGAGCCAATGAGAGTGAAACCTTGACAGCTGTGATTCCCTTTAGGGCCTGGGGCCCTTGGGCGTTGCCTAGGCGTCGGCATCTACGTGATTTTCAACGTGCTTTGGAACATGGCCGTGCTATTGTCTGTGAAGCATTCAGGAGCGCTAGCCACTTTCATCGCGTTGAAGGCAATTTTCCCGGCTGCTCAGCACAAGTTCGACTAGATTTGACTAGACTGTAAGAAGGGCAGTCTCTAACTCTATGCCTGGGGACCATAGGTCTCAACGGTGCTCTTCGCCTATGTAGACTGGCCGCTGCTGGGCCCGACGGAGTTGTCCGGTCTGGTCTGGCTCTCCATCCTTTTGCTGCTGCCCTCCATCGCAGCTTACCAGTATGCCACGCAGTTGCAGGAGCGGAGGGCGTAGATTGCTGAGAGGTCACGCGCTGTGAAGGGGAAGGCTGTTTTTCAGCCGTGCATTGCGGCATGGCAGGTGCAGCGTGCGCTGCTGCACCCGCCGGGCGGCCTCTGTTGTTGGCCCCTTGGCCAACGTTCCCGAGCAGCTCGAGGGCCGTTGCTGGGTGCGCCGGACGAGTGCTAGCTCCAGCTCTAGCTCTAGCGCGGCGCATCAATCGATCAGCGCAGGGCATCGAGGTGCCTATTCTGTGATCATGCGGCCGGTAGCTTCCCGGGATTGCTCAGCAGCAATTAAAAGCAAATGCAAGCGCACATATCAGCACCTAGGGAGAGTGTGCTTGTGAGATTATGACCGCTTTCATTTTCAAGCGACGTGGGATGTTGTTGCTTCAGGCTGATCTCGCCGAGACGCCTAACGAAGTCCCGCATGTTGATTGCAATAGCGATGCAGCAGTGTACCGTGCTTGGCAACAAGGAAAAGGCAAGTGCCAAAATTACGTGTCCGTGCATGCAGAGCAACAACAATTCACGGCATCACAACTTTAAGGCAACCCAACAGCAGTTGGCTGGGTCAGGGTATGCTGTGGTTGGAATAGGATGGAGCGGGGTTGTTCTTTCTGGCACCCACCGTTGGACCAAATTTGAAAAAACTGAGTTTCGGAGATGATGCAAGCAGTTGTCCTTAGGTCTTCGGTCGACTGTCGTTCCGGTAATGCCAAAACAGGCTACGATTTTCGATTCAAGTTAGCTGGTGCAAGGACACCGCACTAGAAGCAGCAAGGCAAAGAAAACAATCCACGGCATCACAACTTTAAGGCAACCCAACAGCAGTTGGCTGGGTCAAGGTATGCTGTGGTTGGAAAAGGATGGAGCGGGGTTGTTCTTTCTGGCACCCACCGTTGGACCAAATTTGAAAAACTGAGTTTCGGAGATGATGCAAGCAGTTGTCCTTAGGTCTTCGGTCGACTGTCGTACCGGTAATGCCAAAACAGGCTACGATTTCGATTCAAGTTAGCTGGTGCAAGGACACCGCACTAGAAGCAGCAAGGCAAAGACGACATAGACGGAGGGTTTGTTCGATCATGTGTGGAAGCTTGCGCGGATGGGCAGAACCATGTTTTGATGCGGAATGCCGTCTCAATGATTGTGTGTTTTGTGCAGGGATGCAGTCGTTGTCGCGATCGGTGGAGGCTTCTGCTGAGGCACCATGCCCTTGTAAAAGGCGAGGGCTTCTCGCAATGATGACATCCACGAGTTGCCCAATGTCCTGCTTGCGCATTCATCTCCTGCCCCTTAGATGCCCTTGGATGCCCAAGAGCCCAAGATGTACAGGGACACTTGGTCCAGAGCTCTGCTCTTTGTCGGAGGGCCGAGGGCTGGAGAACTGACTGGAGCGTCACAGCATGAAAAGGGTGCATCAAGAGAATTCGCCTCTTTGGTCTTTTGCCTCCTGTCGGTGAGGCCCCAGCCAAAGCTATGGCATCCGCCTTCTTCTCCCTCATCGACTCCATTGGGGAGACCTTCGAGGGTGTTGTGGAGAATGCTCCTTTTCTGCCTTTGCGCCTGTGGGGAGCTTCATTCTCCTGGCCGCTAGAGTGCCGCTACTGTAGGTGGAAAATGTCGTTGGGACCGTGGAGAAGGAGGCTCGAAGCTGGACTCAGCAGGTGCTCTCGGTGAAAGTTTCGCGCCGCAGGTGGAGGGGGCAGTTCAGCAGATGGACGCAGGAGTGGACCTCGACGATGTCTTGGAGGATACGATGGGATCTGTCGTTTGAACTTGTGAACTCTCAGCACAGCAGCATCTCGTTCGGCAGCTATTTCCAGTTTTGGTCTCCACCGGCCTGGACTTGCCCTCGTTTCGCCATGGCGGAGCCTGCTCAGAAGAAGGCCCGCACCACGCGTACCTTCCTCTTCTCCTCAGAGTCGGTGAACGAAGGTCCACAGCTGAGCAGGGACCCAATAAACATCCCGCCCAAGATCCCCGAAGCTTCGGCAACTCCACCAAGGCCACCCGGATAAGATCTGCGATCAAGTCTCGGATGCCGTGCTGGATGCGTGCCTCAAGGTGGACCCCAAGAGCAAGGTGGCCTGCGAGACTGCGACCAAGGACAACATGGTTATGGTGGCTGGAGCGCCTTGGCTTCCTTCGGGCACCCAGTTGGCATAGGCATAGTACTATTCTCATTTAGATTCTTTGGAACAGTTGGAAAAGCTGAGGAGATCACCACCGGAGCCAAGCTCGACTACGACAAGGTGGTGCGCGGCGTCGTGCAGCAGATTGGCTTTGACAGTTTCGTGGACGACCTGTCCAGCGTGGACAGCAAGGGCTTGAGCTACAAGACCTGCGCCTCGGCTCGTCTTAGGCCCTGTGTGAAACGCTATGCAGCTGCTGAGGTCAGGTTGAATAGAGAGCACACAGCAACTACCGGTTCCTCTTGTTTGTATGGCTAGCCGCAATCTTTTGATAGCACAGAGTCACAAGGCGAGGTCCTGGTGCGCATCAACAAGCAGAGCCCGGACATTGCCGGTGGAGTGCATGTGGGCAAGGACGAGATGGACGTTGGCGCCGGAGACCAGGGCATCATGTTTGGGTACGCCAGCGACGAGACCTCGGATTGCATGCCTCTGACGCACAGCATGGCCACTCGTCTTGGCAAGACCCTGACCGATGTGCGCAAGAGCGGCGAGTGCTGGTGGCTGCGACCTGATGGCAAGACGCAGGTAACGATCGAGTATATGCAGCACCCGGATGGGTCTGTCGAGCCGAAGAAGATCCACACCGTGGTGATCTCTACTCAGCATGCGGAGCCATCCAAAGCCAAGCGAACCCAGGAATGTGCTGGCTACACCGGTGCCGAGATGGTTGCACCCACCATGGAGCAGATGAATAAAGAGATCGAAGAGAAGGTTATCAAGCGAACGCTTGAGTCGATCAAGTTGAAAAATGGCAAGCCCGCCATCAGCCTTTACGGCAGCCACACGCACCTGCACATAAATCCTTCAGGGAAGTTCATCATTGGTGGTCCTCAAGGCGATGCAGGCCTCACAGGCCGGAAGATCATCATTGCCTCTTGACTACAGCGAAGCGAGAGGGCTTGAGGGTGGCAGTGTTTTTTTTTGTCCCACTGTATTGCTAGCCTCCTTTTTGCATCTGGCGTTCGATCCCAGGACACCTACGGAGGCTGGGGAGCCCACGGCGGCGGCGCTTTCTCTGGCAAGGACCCGACCAAGGTGGACCGATCTGCTGCCTACATCTGCCGTCAGATGGCCAAGTCCGTGGTCAACAGCGGCTTGAGCGCACGCTGCCTGGTGCAGCTGTCGTATGCCATCGGCGTGGCCAAGCCTCTGTCCCTGTTTGTGGAGACTTATGGCAGCGAGAAGGGAAGCCTAACCGTGGATGATATCACCAGTGTGCTTAAGATCGAGTTTGATTGCCGACCTGGAGCCATTGCACAGTCCCTGGCTTTGCGTGAGCCGAAGTACCAGGACACTGCCGCCTACTGCCACTTTGGCCGCGAGCCCGTCACCAAGGGTGGCATCAAGTTCTTTGAATGGGAGAACCCGAAGGATTTGTCGAAGTACAAGACCATGAGCACGGCTCAGGTGGAGGCCGCGTTGAAGGCCAGCACCTACTTGACGAAGTGGGTGGATTAGGTGCATGACTGCGACCCAGAAAACCCTGGAGATCGCCCTTTAGCCGGACAAGGACACGATGCCTTAGGGTGGATGCGGCTTTAAGTTTTGGTGGCCATGGCTACTGCAGATCCATCAGCTACCGGCTGGTGTGTTGGGGTAGGCGGCCTCGAGAGATTTTCCGTGTCAGCGAAACGATGGCATTCAGGCCTGGCTGGTACAAAGCTTGGATAAAAAACTCCCCAGCTCAGCAAGAAGCCACGAGTGAGTGCAAGTGTGACTCAGTGTGACCAGAGGCAGCTCTTGAACCAATCTAGATTGGGAAGCCTGTGCAGGAAATCCAGCTTGCCGCGGAGGAGGCCCGAGGCTAATGACTGCGCCGATTGCGCTGCGCTTGTGAAGTCTTGCCTTAGCTGTGGCCCTGGCTTGTCGCCCACTAGGCAGCTCTGCTCGAAGCCTATCGTCGCCTGGAGGCGCTTGGGCCCTTGGGCCTCTTAGGCCCCTTGCCTTGGAGCGGCCGCCCGGCCGGGGCCCGCTTGGCAGGTCTTGGCGACAAGCCAGGCAGCGGTCATCTTGCACGGCTGGGTCGTGGAGGCCCGGGCCCCTCAGCAGAGTGGCTGTTGCCAGGCTTGCAATGGCATTCCTTGCCAAGGATCGGGTTGTTCCCGTCGTCTGCGCTGCCCTGTGCCGCGTGGAGTGGGGTACCTCGGAAATGTGCTGGGCACTCCCAGCAAGCTTTGGCATTGAGGTCTGCAAAGCTGGCGGCGGCGCCTCTTGCCAGGCCAAGCGCCCAGGAACGCTGCGCAGCTTGCGGCTTGCATTGGAAGGACGCTGAACGGCATGGGCCGGGCCTTGGACTCCACCGGCACCTTTGAGGCACAGGGCGCGAGTCGGCTCCACGGCTCATCACGGCTCCACGTGGTCTCGTCTGGGCAAAGGAGACGTGTGGCTTCCACGAGCAGATCGTGCGGCGGACGGAGAACGGCAAGGCCATGTTGAAGCTGCTGCAGGCAGATCACCGGCTCACGCCGCACGCCCTCCTCCAAACGCTTTGGTGCCTCGCGATGGTGTCGAGGCTACGGACCCAGCCTCGCGCACGGAAAGCCCGATGCTCGCTGAGCCGCATTTGCCGCTTGGTCTCTCTCCCTGCTCTGCCAAAAAAAGGCTTGGCGCTGCTGCGCCGTGTCTATCCACAGACCAGCAAGGTGCCTTGGGCCTTGCTCGCAAGCGACCTCTTTCGTCGCGTCCTTCCGCGTCTGTCTCGCAGGTGCTGGGACGCCACCTCCTCAGCGACCCGCAGTCCATTGCAGCCTTGATGCAGATTTTGCAGGACCCTTGTCTCAAGGTTGTGCGCCAAGTTCTCGATGAAAATTAGATTCATTGGAGTGAACAGACGAGAATAATCAACATAATGTGAGAAGGACACACACACACACACACCACATATAGGAACTGTTGTTTTGGCTCGCGTTCCTGGTAGCGGTCTGGGGGAATACATACCCTGATTGTAGGCTTCTTCCGGGGGACGGGGGGTGGGTGGGGGTTTCATGAGGACATGGTTGACGACATGATTCAGAATCTGATACCAATGATGCTTCTGCTAATCATGAAGATGATGAGGGTGACGATGATGCTAGTGATGATTACTGTGCTGCTGATGATGATGATGATGCCAAGGATGCTCCTGACAGCTATGCTTTGGCTGATGCATGCAGTGGCACAAGTATGAAGGTCGAACATGGTCCTCGCATAATGGGGCTTGTGGGGTCTACCAACGTGGAGCTGTGTCGCTGGAATGCTGCTCTAGACTCTAGACACGTTCTGTGTGCAGCTGAATACAAGAGTCCACTGCCCTTGCCACACACACGACATGCGAATCTGCAGCACTGAAGTGGATCCGAAAAGAGTCTTGCATGGTAGCGGACCAGGTCCGGTCTAGCCGGCCTGGTTTTCTGAGAATGAGGATCCCCTTGGCTGTCTCTCTGAGTCTCTCTCTGAGTCTCTCTGAGTCTCTGAGTCCCTCTGTCTCTCTCTCTCTCTCTATCTCTCTC